TGTAATGCTTTTATGTTGTAAAGGTCAATTCTGATGTGTGCAGTCTCCATGGATATTTCAGACACTGGGCTGAATGCTGTGGGGATTTTTTCCCTCAGAATCCCAAGTCCAAAAAAATGCATATTGTGAGGTGCAATTTATCTTTGAAATGCAGTGGTGTTTTTTCCCTTTAATATTATGATGCATTATTAAAATCTACTATTTCCGTTTCGTGTAAAAAAACGCATTTATGTTGCTATCCGGTTGTCTGGCATTCATTCCATAGAACATTAAAACATGCTCCATTTAGTTCAGACGAGGAGCTGATCAGAATGATAGATGCTGTATTAAACCCTTTGTATTGTTGAGTTATGTCTATGGGGAAATCGTTTTAGTCTTTACAGGCTTCACTTTTGATACTTAAGGAATAAGGCATAGAATGTCATGTTTTTTTATTTCAGATCCTATTGGCCCCACTGGGCATAGTGAGGCATGTGGAGGAGCGATCGCTCACGGGCACGTGGGACATCGCTCAGCTCCGACGCTGGCAGTGGAATGTGACAGCACCACCCAGCGCAGGTAAAACTGTCAACAACATGGTTTTGATTGAAGCTTTTTCACTGACAAATATTTGTAGGGACCACCTTTGTGTGCATATATAAAGTAGGAATCATTTTTTTGAGTTTTTTTTGTTATGTATAAACTCGCCATGGGTAAGGCCAACAGTGTTTATTTTTCCTTGACCTTACACAGCCACCGGATTGTTAAAACTTCTCAGTTGCCCATGAGGTAGCGTGGGTTCTAGTTCACAAAATAAGGCAGAGGGTCGTTCACTCTGGATTACCCTGATGATGTAATGGCTTCAGTTGATTTACCTCTATCTATGGGCATATTTATAACTGTTTAAAATAACAATTTTTTAATTTCCCATCGTTGTTAAACTGAAAATTCATCTCGCAAACAATAATGACCACATTATCACGGATATATCGTTTTCAAGATTACACAATAACATTTCTTACATAGGTAGAATTATTTAGTTTTTCACTGTCTCATAAAATGTTCACCATTTAATCTAAGTGTTAATTGAATCGTAAAAGCTTCGCAAGAGCACGTTTCCATCCACCCTGTCCCCATGTGACACGAAGGGTTTGTTTTCAGTGCACGTTTTACCACCATTCGCGACACACAGATGCCCCTTGTTCAGTACAGGCGGTGAGTGCAATCCGTCTTCGAATCAGTGGGATTTTATTATTCTCTCTCCTTAATGTACCGATGCATTGTCAACGTGTGACCGATGTAGTTCTATCAGCATTGCGTTTACTAATGCACGGTATTTTATTTGCAGAGGCTGCTCACGAAGAGAGAATGGTCCACGACGATTTCATTATTACTATTTTCCCCAAAGAAATATGCACCTTCTTTGTCCACTTTGAAAGTATTATTTAACACTCAATGTGAACATTTAACATCCCAGATTGCTGCAACCTTTCAAAAACTCAGTATATTTTTTTTATGATTGTTAATACTCTAGACATTTGTAAATGAATGTCAAATTAACTTCAAAATCTTTGCACAAGTGTAATTTTAAAAGAAAAATGTAATCTGTCAAACGCTGTTTCTGTCAGGAATCATTAAATGTACAGTATTGCAACCCAATATGGTGCACTACGAGTGGTATGATAGCGGTTGCCCGTGTGAAAAGATACCTTTTGGAAAGTATGTTAAGCGAGCACCATAGGACCTTGTCAACCTACCGCATTGCCCCGCAAGAACCTGGGAAAGAAAAACTGCGTTGAGGCTCTTGCTTTGGCCTCTGTTTTTTAATGTTTGGAGATCCCAGCATTGTCGCGCCTCACGCATTGTGCATCCGACACATGCAAGTTGTTCCCAAACGCCTCGCGCAATTTGCACGTCTCACACACACAGACGTGCGTCATGTCACTTGCGTGGATTTGACGAGGGTGTTTCAAAAGCGATTTGACAAGTGACGGTAGCGGCAATGATATTCCGTGTGTACACCCTCGCTTGATGTTCCTGGAAAATTGTCTCCTCTTGCTACACTGGCCTAATGTGTGCGAGCACAAGCCTTTTCACTTAAAAGTTGCAATGGAGTTTTCATATCCCAATTGATCACTACAGAATAAACAATTCTCTATTTTAGCTTGGCTGATTTGTTACTATTGTCTTGAAAGGAAATAACGAAGCCAAATGTACATTTAGCATATGAAATCAATAGTAAACAATTAAAATAAGAGTGAAAAACTACAAAGCAATCAGATACATTTTATAGCGTATTACTATAAAAAAAGTTAGAACTGTGACAATTGGAATTCTACGAACAAAATATGAAATGCATTGGAAAGATGAAATTAGCTTTCCAATGATGTACCATACAATGTGCTGTCCCATTTACCTTTCACAAACTGCATTAATATAACCGATACACATGTGTCATGGCTATCAGTTTCCCAACATGGGCCTTCCAACTTAAATGTAACTGATTTCAATTCCGTTGCAATTTGTCCTGAATAAAGGCACTATTTGAACCCAGACTCATTTGTCCGAATGAGTGCATGTGCACGTGTGCGTCTCTGTGTATCTCTGGTTATGCCTGTGTTTGTCTATCTCCGATAGTGTCTGCGTGTTTCTGATTGTGTGAAGAAACGTGGAGTGTGGAGAAATTACTGGGCCACGAGTATAAAAGGGGCATAGGCACGTGGGTTGTGGAAAGTGTTAGTGGTGAAGGCAATAGTGTCGGGGTGGCATTGGTGTAAACTTGCCGACTCGCCCCCTACGTTATAACGTATGTTAAACTTCTTTCGCACCGTACGTGGCCAACCATGGTGGGGCGATAGCCCGTGTTTATTTGTTAAAACATGAACTATTTGCATAAAAAATCATGCAGGAAGCCAACTCATTCCATGCACTGTACTGCCTATGGACTCAACAGTGGGCTTTTTGTGCCCATGTAACGGAACATGTTGACAAACTCGAGTGTTTATTTTCTACCATTCATCCCTTTAACGAGATGAATTTGCAACATGAGTAACACTGTACACGGTGAAAACTTGGCGGAACTCGCGTTGCAAATAGTATGGCTGAGATAGCGTGTACACGTGTAGTGTAGCACAAGTCGGACACGAGGTGGTTGCAAGCGGCACCTTTATTGTAACACTCTGCGGGTTCACACAGGTGCGCCTCCTTCCTTCTTATTTCCGTTACAGCCCAGCCTAGACACAACCCTAACCGCGTTACACCGACGACGTCGACCGAGACGGCCAACAACTGCCCGGCCTGCGCAATTATCGAGTGAAGGTGGCGAAGACGACGTCGAGACGAGTCCCAGAACCGGCAGCTTGGAGCTCTCGCTCTCCGCTGCTTTTATCCGACTCGGCGCGGCCCGGCTCCGTCCTGGCCGTGCCTCCCTTCTCGAACCCACTAGCGGGTTCCAGGGGCTTCCCAATGAGGTCTTCCATGACCCTTGCCCAAGTTCCTCCGCCCCGCCGGCACGCGCGCACACCGCGTGTATGCTCAACGGCGTGTGCGCTGTCCACCGCAGTTTCCGCTGCTGGACAGCAATTCGGCGCAATGTCACTCCACACGTATAGGGTTGCGAGAGTCGAGTGCTGCATTGGAACATGCTGGAAACGCGCTCACACAGAGCGCACAATGTTCACGGCGCGTCCAAGCCGCCCTCTCCACTCGTTTGGGGACGCTGGATGGCGACTCATTTGACGTTCAATGTGACACTTTTGGCAGTGAACTTCGGGCTGGCAATTCAGTGGCCAGGGATGAGCGTTGGGCGTGTCACGGTGCAGGAAGTGTAATTGAGATTTGTGGGGGGGGGGTTAAAGTGAACTTGGAAAAAATAAAGACCGGAATTCTAGCAAAAATCGTCCAATGATGCTGGATGCAATTACCAGCGATACTCCAATTGTAAACGTTGTGGATTTACTCTCCAACACACCGGGTGGGCTGATGTAGTAACTAATTGCCACGTTTTGTTTACGTGACAAACCTTACGAATTGGCTGTGTCCGGTAGTGGCGAGTTAACGACACATTTATACTTACGCGATCTAAAAAAAACGTTGTGAATATTAGTAAAGCTTATGTGTTAAAGTGTACACAAAACCAAACAAGAAATGGAGAGCGACTCAGCATTCTTTCTTAACAATAACAGGAAACGGAAATCATGCAGCGTTCGTTAAAAAAAGAAGGGTAATAATTTCGGACCCAGGAACACATCCCTTCCCCCCCCCCCAAGGTCTGTTACTATGCCTCACTTTTACCCAACACAGCATTTTCCAGGAAAGTAACTCCCGCGTTCGGCGAAGTTTTTTGCTTTGTACTGTGTAAGGAATATTTGTTTACATCGAGCATCAGATATAGGAAAGACATTATCTGCTTACCTATTTATGTTATCCACAACACTCAATAATCTTTTGTGTTATGCGCTACATAACTAGGACCCATCTCATAAAGACAGGGTCCTTGCTTACAACATAATATAGTTCAGCAGCATTCATGCAACAAAGCCTATTGATGAGAGACTATATGTTGAAAACAGTCAAAAGTTTTCTTGCACTGAATTAATGCTCGGGACATCATGCACTCTCAGAACGCCTTTTATCCAATGAGTTGTTTAATAAATACTTGGTTTTATGTGGATATATTGTTGCATGATCTATTTAGCCATATTATTCTTTTGTTCAGTCACAATTCACATAACACCCTCGACAAGTGGCAGAAACCATGACTTGAAAGTAATACATCTTGTGTCTTAAATGTAATAACTGCATTGACATTCAGAACGTTGCAAATACATTCTAGTTTTGAAGCTTTCGTGACTGCAAGGATCCATACTCTTTGGTTCTATTCGGTACAGTCACGTAGGTAAAAAAATAAACAAAAATCACGACGTTTCGGCCACAACACAAGTGGCCTTCATCAGGTGAAGGGACCAGACTGTCCAGAGGAGAGCGCTGTCCTCTGGACAGGTTAGTCCCTTCACCTGATGAAGGCCACTTGTGTTGTGGCCGAAACGTCGTGATTTTTGTTTATTTTTTTACCTATGTGACTTTACCGAATAGAACCAAAGAGTATGTTGCAAATACATTCAGAATATTTACAACAATCCTTGTAATGAATTCCCTATCATGGAAACTCTTTCTCCAAGTAATTGGGAATACTTCAAGGTGCTGTTGTCATATTCGAGTTCTGAACTTTTGGGAAATTGCCATTTTTTGTCCCATGCTTTGTAGTGCTGCACTGTGGCGTCTGAGTCTGGCACATATTTTATCGTGAAACCAGAGTGAAAGGTCAGAACACCGTGGACGGCGTGGTAGACGACCCTTGTTGGGCGCAACAAAACCTTGGTAGGTGTATCGGCGGAATGGATGGGTGGCACCAGCTTCACAGTTTGCTTAAGTATGTCCGTGCCCCTTAGTTCCATTCCAGGACCCAGGTTCCACGTGTATGTTTCATTAACTGGGAATGTGTGCATCCTAAAGTAGTATGCTGCAACCTTGTCTTCTTCCAGCGCCTCCATCATGCTCGCCCAATTTGACCAATGCCTTGGTAGGATGATCTCATCAATGTCATTCACGGCAAGGTATTTAACTCGATACATGTTCCTGTACAAGCAGTCATTTATTGTAGCCATTTGTCCATAGTAATGAATGTCTCCAGGATTAATTGTTGGAATCCAACCTTTGGATGGGTTGAGATGATGCTCTATGGGCCACTGCACAATGTCAATAAACCCAGTTTGGGCATAATACTTGAGCACCTTCTCCATGGTTGGGCTTACACTCGTGTTGTACACGGTAACGATGCCGACTCCGAGAATGCGGTACATTTCCACGCTCTGGATGAACAGAAGGGAGTTGTTGAACTCCCCAAATAAGGTGGGGAGGCATACCCCAAAAGTGTGCTTGTGTGATGAATTACTCGGAGCGTAGACAGGGATGAGGAAATGCTCTCTGAGGCGTGATGACTCATCCACAAGGGTCACGTGACTCGGGGAGGGCATGTGTTTTGGAGCATCACAAATAAAATTATACACGGTGTACATGAAGCCAAAGTGACTGGTCAGCATTTCCACTTTTGAGGAAATGTGAACAATAGGGGATAGGCCTCGATAGATCAGTTTACAGGATATGTGGCTGTAGCTTTTGTCCCTTGGAGCAAGTGCAAAGACACGGACAAACACGTGGTCCTCAGTGCTGGTGTCAAAATATGCTGAGAAGGCAAGTGCATGGGTGCCTCCCACAAGGTGGAAAACATTATTTCTACCAATGTCCGACAGTGGATTTGGTCTCGTATTTAGTGACTTGTTAAATATCTGTAATACTTGTCTTGTGGCAATGAATATGCAGAATACTAAGAGCAATATGAACAAAAATGTGTTTTTCTTTGAGAGCGGAAATGCTGTCGTTCTGTACAATGGGAAACCCATGGTCTTGTAATGGAGTCTCCAGTCAGTGGGATTAACTCTGGCCTGCATTTACAGAAACATAAATGGACATAGTTAACAAAATTCCTTATTTTTACCACAGACATTAGCCCTAAAAGGCTTATACAAGTGTATGAAATGGACAAAGCTGTATGTTTTAAGTCAGTTTGTCCTCAAGTGCATAAACCAAGTCAATTCATACCCCATGAGACCCGCATCATCAGCCATAATCAGCACGCCGGATGAGGGCCGACGCAAGCCATTGCCATCTCTGATGGTCTTCAGAATAAACAATCCACCTAGCTCCTGCACACGATTTGAATTAATTTTTCCATCTCCTTTGCGGACATCCTCTTCGGCACGTTCCTTCCCTTGACTGCAGTATGTCACCGTTATTATCGTCCACCGGTCATCCCTTCTAGTGATGTGTCCTGCCCAAGCCCACTCTTTAAACAGTCAAAATTACATCACAAATCTGCATATGTCACTCAATGTAATTGAAAGCATGCATTTCTCAAAGCTTTGTGTACTTAATGTGTTTGTTCAGCTTTGTTTCTATATTTTTCTGAATCATGTTACAGCAGGTAATATGCATTGGTTACACATATTTGCTTCTTTAGGCACGTTAATATGAATTGCAAAAGCACTCAAACTCGCTCTGTTCCACATTTTGATGTCAGCACTTTGATACAAATCGGCCATAAATAACTGTTCAAGGTACAACATATCCACGGTGATATGGGGGACCAATATCGAGGAAAAATTTAGTTCATGGCTCTTATCTGCAAGAATGTGAACAGCAGTAATGTAACATCCATAACCACTATCATTCGTGCACTTGCTATGATCATGGTTTTTTTTTTACTTGCATATAACTGCGGCTAAAACCCGCATGCATTAGGAGGCCACTTCACTATGCATTACGGGTAAAATAGCGGATAACGGCGGACAGAAATAGGGCTGTGGATAACAGTTATCCTGTATACAAATTGTTGTGTTTTTGTCCTGACAGACATTTTCAAACTGTTTTACAAATTTGCTGTGCACGACCTTCGATTAGCTCGTGTTTGTCTTGTCTCTGTGAATGACATGGCGAAATTGTGTCACCTCATCTGACTCCCCTGTTAATATGGACTTTGGTTATTTATTAAAGTTATCTCTGTGAGTTTTTACTTTTTTTCAAATAGAGTGTGGACGGCAATCTTACCAGTTCTTGACGAGGTGTGTTTTACAAGTGCTTTGTTCTTATTTGCATATGTCTGCAATCATCCCATTGTTGTTCATGTTCTGAATGGCGTGGAAACCTCTTGAAGCTGGACAACTTGGGGGGGGGGGGGGAGAGATGGAAAGAGCCTTTTCGGCTTCCTGTAAAATAATGCGGAATTATAAAATTACATTATGTATACGTGTATTGAACACCTACCACATGTATTTATCCATAAGAGGTTTTTGTTGGGGTTAGATTGCGTAAATATATAAATGTGTCGTTAAAACCCGCCACCACCCGACACAGCCAACTAGTAAGGGTTTTCACGTAAACAGAACGTGGCCAATTCGTCACCAGTACAGCACACCGATGTGTTGGAGAGCTAAGCCCGCAACATTTACAATCTGAGTACGACGTTTCGCCAGTAATTACAACTAGCTTCATCAGGCGACAGCCAGATTTGTGGAGAAGTCTAACTGTTTCGTTCCTTATACAGAGGCGTAGATGTGGTGACCACGCTTCTACACTCTCGCGCAAAGTGGGGGGGGGGGGGGATTACCGAGTCTACGTACATTATGCATGCGCATTATGGTCAGCCCTTAGATCTTGTCCTTCCTGTCTATTGTGTATGAAAATAGCCGTACCAACGGTAATCCCTATTGAAGTATGCTGCCCTTTATAGGCAGCCTTTAAATAATGTATTATTTGATGAATCGCTTCCACGCAGCACTAAGGCGGTAGCTATCCGAACGGTTAAAATAAAAAAAAATATTTCAATTTCGATTCTCTAATTAGTCTTGGCCAGTAGTAGCTAGGGCTTGCATAATGCACATGCATAATGTACGTTGACTCTGTAAACCCACCTCCCAATTTGCGCAAGAGCACAGAAGGGTGGTCACCACATCTACGCCTCTATATAACGAAACAGTTAGACTTCACAAATCTGCCTGTTGCCTGATGAAGCTAGTTGTAATTACTGGCGAAACGTCGTACTCAGATTGTAAATGTTGTGGCTTGGCTCTCCAATACACCGGTGTGCTGCACTAGTGACGAATTTGCCACGTTCTGTTTACGTGACAACCCTTACTAGTTGGCTGTGTCGGGTGGTGACGGGTTTTAACGACACATTTATATATTTAAGCGATCTAACCCAAAAAAACCTCTATTATGGATATGGGTCACGAAAGCCTCCTGCGTGTTAAACCCGCATGTATTTCATGTACTAAGTCAATCACAGCAGTTACAATCTTTTATCAAATGTTTAACAACAATTGAAAAAAAATTATCAAGCGTACTGTGCAGTAAACCCTCGCTATTCACGAATTCTGGATCCGCGAGTTTTGGTATATTTGCGAGTTACTAAACGCACGCTAATTCCCTATTCGCGACCCGCGGACTCGAGTATTCGCGAGTGCACACGCCAGAACCAGATCACCGATACCGGGGAGGAAGTGCGCGCAGAATTGTCCACTTGAAAGTGCGAAGATGAGACAAGCCACCTCGGCTGCCCGCTTTGTCCTCAGTCTCGCTGTATAATCCCGTGTACCGCGAATAGGGGTATGCTACCTTGCAGATCCTCTGAACTTTGCTATTGTGCACATTAATTTTATACTTGCTTGTGTAATTGCCCCTAATGATAGGTCCCAAAGCGTCCGATGCGTCCGTGACTTCCCTCTCGTTGCATCTCCCGAGGAGTCAGCCTCCTGAATTCCTCATCATCACCACCAACCTCCTCCATCGTCGTCAATTCATAATCGAGACGAATACGAAACACGCATTGTTCTTTCTAATTTATTGCAAGGCCGTAATTATAATATGTATTGGGGAAGACACATCCCCCCCAAATATTCAAATATGATCAAAATGTCCCCTCCAATATCTCCATATATACAAAAGACAAAGTTGTGATTGTGTCTGTTGAAAATGTTAGTGTACTTCCCGACATGCAACAAACTTGAAATTTTCCATGTGGGTACTTTCCAGACTATACACCATGCAAAAATGATAAAAAAATACACGTTTTTAGGGGGGGGGAGCTCAATAATGTATATATTCTTTGCACGGCAAGTGAGCTGTGACGTCAAATCTGTCATGTGACCCGCGCATGTGGAAGCATAACGCATTGTAGTGTAGTGGTTAGCGCGCTGTGTATGTGTCTGTATGTGTCTGTGTGTGTCTGTGTGTGTGTGGAAGCGTAACGCATTATAGTGTAGTGGTTAGCGCGCTGTGTATGTGTCTGTGTGTGTCTGTGTAGAAGCGTAACGCATTGTAGTGTAGTGGTTAGCGCGCTGTGTATGTGTCTGTGTGTGTGTGTCTGTGTGTGTCTGTGTGTGTGTGGAAGTGTAACGCATTGTAGTGTAGTGGTTAGCGCGCTGTGTATGTGTCTGTGTGTCTGTCTGTGTGTGTGTGTCTGTGTGTGTCTGTGTGTGTGTGGAAGCGTAACGCATTACAGTGTAGTGGTTAGCGCGCTTTGTATGTGTCTGTGTGTGTGTAGAAGCATAACGCATTGTAGTGTAGTGGTTAGCGCGCTGTGTATGTGTCTGTCTGTGTCTATGTTTGTGTGTGTGTCTGTGTGTGTGTGTCTGTGTGTGTATCTGTGTGTGTCTGTCTGTGTGTGTCTGTGTGTGTGTCTGTGTGCGTGTGTGTGTCTGTCTGTGTGTGTCTGTGTGGAAGCGTAACACATTGTAGTGTAGTGGTTAGCACGCTGTGTATGTGTCTGTCTGTGTCTATGTCTGTGTCTGTGTTTGTGTGTGTGTCTGTGTGTGTGTCTGTCTGTGTGTGTCTGTCTGTGTGTGTCTGTGTGTGTGTCTGTTTGTGTGTCTGTGTGCGTGTGTGTGTCTGTCTGTGTGTGTCTGTGTGGAAGCGTAACACATTGTAGTGTAGTGGTTAGCACGCTGTGTATGTGTCTGTGTGTGTCTGTGTGTGTGTCTGTGTGTGTCTGTGTGTGTGTGTCTGTGTGTGTGTGTCTGTGTGTGTGGAAGCGTAACGCATTGTAGTGCAGTGGTTAGCGCGCCGTGCTACGAACCTGGCGACCCAAGTTCGATTCCCGCTCACGGCCACCACCGGTGACGATTATTTGAACCGGTCCTGGGCCTCCCCTAGGTCGACTCAGCCTCAAACGAGCAACTGCTGTGGTGTGAACATCGCCACTGGGGAGACAAAGGCGGCCGGGCGTGGTGAATCCAAGTCCCCGGGCGAAGCCGCGTCGTAAAGCTAGTATTGCTATAAAATAGATTTCTGTTTACATGATTGTGGTTATGGTTGTACTTTATTAATCCCTAATCTCTGCAATTACATACAATGAAACAAGAAAAATACAATACACTATTAGATATTGTAACAAAAATAAATTGAAAGTCCATCCTATGTGTTAGTGATTTTTTAAAATATTTTAGGCAAGAAATTAAGTTTTAAAGTTTAGATTTTTTTCTTGGGGGGGACCCCCAGACCCCCTGAAAGATTTGGTCCCCCCCCCCTGCAATGTTGACTCCATGGCTACGGCCTTGATTAATAGTAGTACAGGAATTGTTATTAAACATTTACCATCCCCCCCCTACCCCTACGTTCACTCGTACCAAGAACGTAATAGCATTTGTTTTTGTCTCCTGTTAAACACAGTTGTTTCTGCATTCGTGAGTTGTGCATTGGTGACCGGTGGTGGTTTTACACCGTGGAATTATCTCCAGTTAAAACTTACCACAATTGCGGGGGTGGAGCGATGGACAGGCCCATTCTGAAGCCCGATAATTAAGAGGCTGATTCTCACGGCATGAAGAGTTGGATTTTTGTTGCTGCTGTTGTTCTTATTATAGTATCAACAACAAAAATATATGGCAATGAGAATTCCCCGAATATAACGGGGCAGAGATGTTGCCACCTATTCCACGATTTTTTTTAAATCGATTCCTCGTCCAAAGAATTTCGAGACTCGATTCTGATTCTCCTTAAATACCCCCTCCAACATTGTTTGTTTGTTATCACAGTTCTTTAATATTCCGAGTGTCTTATTTCTAGATTAATAACAGCGTGGACAATCCAAATAATTGCGTTACAGGGGAAGGAAACAAAACTAATTATTAAAAAAAAACTGTACATGCACACGTGATGCATGCTGAGATTGGTTATTAACAAATCGCGTTTGACCAACGAAGGCCACTGTAGTTACAGACGGTGGCCTGGTGTGGACGAGTTGCTAATAGCGGGTACAGTTAAAGACGGTGGTTTTAAATTAAAATAAAAACTATCAACTATTTTGTTTTATTTTTCACCAGGTCAGGCTCGCTGAGCTACATAGCTCTTTTTTTTTAGTCAGAAGCGACCTGGCAACGGCAGTGGCTTATCGTGTGGAAATTAAGAGCAGCCAAATTATTCTTAAAACGCGTCATGTTGATTCCTAAATGCGGTGGGAACAAAAAAAAACCGCAGGACCCGGATAATAATAACAAAAATAATGGCCAAATTGTGGTATTAATGCAAATAAATGCGTGGACAATGTGTCACGAGGTGAGCGCTGGATTCAGGTTTTGCTGGGAAATAAATGAACGCTTTATTCATATCCAGCCGGGTGGTAATTTTGTGGGTGCTTCGCCAGTGGAAGGAATGGAAGACGGGACAATACATAAAAAAATATCCACAACTGAGATGAATTTCAGAATATACGAGCTTCTCTCCCACAGGCTAATACAGAGAGTGAGTGATGAGCAACCTGAGAATGTTAACTCGAATACTTTGGGGCTAGCAGTTCCCAACCTGTGGTAGTAAGTGGAGAAAGGAGACTATAACATCATCACCAAGGAAATTTAGAATTTCAAATGGCTAAGTAACACGTGGTGGTCCGTGAAATGTTCAGTTGAAAAAGGGTTCGCACCCACAAAAAGGTTGGGGATCGCTGCTTTAGGCTACCTACATTGAAAAGGTAACAAAATATTAAAATAATAACCACAATTCACACAGAAATAACGTAAACTCACCAATGAATAGGAACACCTATTTTTTTTAAACCTAACCAATACACACGGTAACTTTTCACACTGACCACCGCACAGTCTCCAACTACATATTACAAGTGAGTCATTTTGACCTCATGACTTAATGAGTTATCTTCTTGGTTCTTTCGGTAAAGTCACGTAGAATGGAAATAAGATAATAAAAATAAAACAGTAAAATTCTCACGACGTTTCGGCCACAACACAAGTAGCCTTCCTCAGGTGAAGAAACAGAACTGTCGGGAAGACAGCGCTTTAGTGAACACTGCCAAGCTTGGCAGCGTATTTTAAGCTGGGTGGGAGGAGCAGAGCGCCTTGACGAAGGAGTTTACATATCAACAGAAGAATTTAGCATTGAAATAGCTGTGTTAATGTGTTGGTTTAGCAGGATGTTAAAGTCAGAAATTAGCATGTAACTGGGAGATTAGCACCACGGAAAGCGACGAGCTTTGTTCAGACGGACGAGTCCATCTATGTTCGGAACGGAGGAGGGCGGAGAGGGAGAAACAGCCACGATGCGCTGCTCTGTCCTGTGTTGCGTTACAACTATGCTATAAACTAGACTACTATACATTACAATATTATACTTTCCAATCTAAACTACATTCTATAATATCGTATACACAGCCCAATGTAAGCTCTAACATGTATTATATTGATATGCCTCCAACTAAACTTTTTCTAAAATTACACGACTATACTCCGTAATATACACTGCCATAGACAAACCCCACCCTTGAATTATACAATGCGTTACTATACACTGCCCTATACTTTAGACTATAAAATATTAGACTTGTAATATTACACTATGTATTATTCTACCAACCCTACTGTATACCACACTGATGTATATTCACTATACAATTACGATACTATATATTGCCTTATGAATTATGTTAAACATTACACTGTTATACTATTTATTATTATACAACATGCTATAAACCATACCATTGACCGTCGTGTAAAAGGTACTAAGAGGCAGTGCCAGCGAATGGACTGCGGTCTGAAAGTCACCGTAAAATACAATCAATGAAGAACCGAAATGGTTTCTAACATCTTTCCAATGGTTACTAAGCCAGAATCCATCTTCTCGGTTGAAATTGTCTCTGTGTTTGTGTATATATGTGGATAGCCTCATGAACGAATCTCTCATGGTAGCCGGATGGCTTGCAGAGAACCCCCGTCTTGGAGAAGTCAATGTCATGTGAGCCCACTGAATTATAACAGTGATCTGCCACGGCTGAGGTGTTTGTCCTACCGTGTTTGAAGTCTGCTTTATGTTCACGGATGCGGTCCGAGATATGTCGTTTGGTTTCTTCAATGTAGCTGCTACCACAGAGGCAACTTAGTTTGTAGACGCCCGGGTACTGTATGTCTGGAACCACATCTTTTACCGACGGAACCAGATCACGGATCTTATGTACTGTGTTGAATCGGACCTGGATCTTGTGTTTATTCAGGATTTTGGAGATCTTTTTTGTGACCCCTGCAATGTAGGGTAAAGTGATGGTTTTGAATGGCTCCTCAAGAGGATCCTTCTTCATGGTTGGAGTGATGGCTTTGCGGATTGTGTAGTCGGAGTAACCATTAGCCTTGAGAGCTTGGTGTACGTGCTTGAGTTCACTGGCAATGTGTTCCTGGTCGGAAATGCATTGGGCTCTATGGTATAGAGTCTTGATGAGGGAATTCTTCTGGGATGGATGGTGGTGGGAATCCGGTTTAAAGTAAGCATCCGTATGGGTAGCTTTCCTGTAGACAGAGTGGCTCATTGAATCATCAGGTCTCCTTTTAATTAGGACATCCAAAAAGGGTAGCTTGCCATATTGTTTTACTTCCATGGTAAATCTGATGGCTGGGTGTATGAAATTGATGTGGTCGAGGAATTGGTCTAGAGCAGGCCGGCCATGTGGCCAGATGACAAAAGTGTCATCCACGTACCTCTTCCATAAGGTCGGGCATAGAGTGGCAGTCTGGATGGCGTCAGTCTCAGATTTTTCAATGAAAACGTTGGCTACAACCAGAGATAGGGGGGAGCCCATTGGGATGCCCTCAGTTTGTAGAAAGTTCCATTCCAGGTGAAGTATGTGTTGGTTAAGCAGTGTCTCACCAGGGGGGTACATCAGTATGCAGTCCTTGATGAACCAAGTCTTCAATGATTGCGATGGTGTCAGCTACAGGAACTTTGGTGACTAAGGAAACCACATCAAAACTGACAAGCAGGTCGCCTGGGGACGGAAATAAAAACCCTTAATTGTCGATACCAGGTGAGTAGAGTTTAGTACCGCAGAGGTGGTTTTTCCAGTAAAAGGCCGCAGGATTTTAGACAGAAAACGACCCAGTTTGTAGGTGGGTGAGTTTATAGTAGAGACGATGGCACAAACGGTGTATCTTCTTTATGTATCTTTGGAAGGCCATATACAGTGTATTTGATCCCCTGTTGATTTTGTACGTTTGCCCACTGACAAAGAAATGATCAGTCTATAATTTTAATGGTAGGTTTATTTGAACAATGAGAGACAGAATAACAAAATAATCCAGAAAAACGCATGTAAAAAATGTAATAAATTGATTTGCATATTAATGAGGGAAATAAGTATTTGACCCCCTCTCAATCAGAAAGATTTTTGGCTCCCAGGTGTATTTTATACAGGTAACGAGCTGATATTAGGAGCACACTCTTAAAGGGAGTGCTCCTAATCTCAGCTCGTTACCTGTATAAAAGACACCTGTCCACAGAAGCAATCAATCAGATTCCAAACTCTCCACCATGGCCAAGACCACAGAGCTCTCCAAGGATGTCAGGGACAAGATTGTAGACCTACACAAGGCTGGAATGGGCTACAAGACCATTGCCAAGCAGCTTGGTGAGAAGGTGACAACAGTTGGTAAAACTATTCGCAAATGGAAGAAACACAAAAGAACTGTCAATCTCCCTCGGCGTGGGGCTCCATGCAAGATCTCACCTCGTGGAGTTGCAATGATCATGAGAACGGTGAGGAATCATCCCAGAACTACACGGGAGGATCTTGTCATTGATCTCAAGGCAGCTGGGACCATAGTCACCAAGAAAACAATTGGTAACACACTACGCCGTGA